AAAAGGCTGCATGCTGTGCGGATTTGGGGGATTGGAGACTTCAAATGTTCAGGGTCGTATGAAATCCGAGCATAAAATTCCTAAGGATTTCCGTAGGGATTAGGGTGGGCCGGGAACCTGTCCGTAATCCTAGAGAATCTCCTTTTGCTGTATGTGATATCATAATTCCAACGAATTTAGTTCCCTGAATGACGCTTAATTGCAAGAATGTTGTCGGTAAACTAATAACAAAGACTTAGCCTAAAAAAAAATCCCCCGATGGCATTTGACATACACAAACAAAGGCGTTGGTGTACGTGTATTTTTGTCACATGCGTCCCAGCGCAATTTTGAAAGGATAACAAAAGCCCCATCTTTCAAAATTTATAACAATCCACTTAAAAAAAAAAAAAAAATCGGTTCAAAATTGCGAGTCACTAAATGCGATTATCACAGCGTATGATATAATTAGTGTCGGTATGGCAAATGAAGCGGTTCATATTATTAACAGGTGTATAGGCCTACACCTGCAACGAATAGAGCTATTAAAAAACATAAAAGGATCTTTTAGACCTGAACACAAACACAGCGTGAATTCCCGTGAGGGGGACAGGGTACCACGGGGGACAGTAGTCATAATAGTGTTGACACACAGGGGGCCTGGTATAAATGTACTTTTACTTTCATCAAATCAATTAATTAAGGATCAATTTGTTCTACTTGACATCCTCTGACTAAAGCATAGCAAAATATGTGCATGGGAGGGGGAGGGGGGGGGGGGAATCCACGAAATGTACCCCTGTTTAGGTCCCATGGACTTAACTTGAACACTACCTTTTAGCTCCACCTTGTTTCAACAAACGAGATTTCTGTCCGACTTGATTGACAACCTTGCGCTCCACAAACAACAACATCTCCCTGTCAAATTTTCATTATTACTCCGTCACTTATTTCACCAGAACGGACTCCTATTGTCACAATCAAAACATCAAAGAAAAACACCCACCGACGACCTCTCTAGCATTGTCAGAAACCTTACAATTGACAAGAATGATAATAGTTGGTCTAATAGTAAAAGTTCAAGGTGATTCACAGAGAGTTTGGTTTACTTTTCACAGCTTGCGTTTCAAAACAAGACAGCACAAGAACTTCATTAGAATGATTAACCAAACGCATACCGTACGGCAATACAACCAAGTACGATAAATGCTGAAAATATTCAACTCTACGTAAAAAATATAGACTGATATTTCAAAAATCAAAACTATAAAAGATAACATTTGAGGATCTCAATCCTTTCTATCCTTTTTGACAAAACAGCGCAAAAACGTTCGAATTTAGTAACGTTTAATGAGGGATCAAACGAACTCGCGTGACAAAATGGGGATACATGTAAAAGAAGCATAGGGTATTGAGACCAAAGTAAGGCCTACGTGACTACAACAGACCAATAAAATTGCTTGTTTACTACAAACACTCCCATAAAATCTTCCCGAGAATTCAAACGTCGCAATAAAAAAAAAACAGTTCTAGACACCAGACGAGCCTTTTCACACTTCAGCGTGGAGCGGTCACCGGAAAAGTCGTAACTTTTTAACAATTGGAAAAGAGGGAAAATAAGTGTTTATTCTTGTGTCTCTTGGGACTTTTACTCGGGAACACCTGCAAACTATTCCTTTTTGAGAGCAAGACAAAGGGAAATTCCCAACAGAGACTGGGAATTTTTAATGAAAGGACTTTGCGGAATCACAAACCAAAAACTTATTGTTACAGGTGTATGCCAGTACAATATGGTCACTTAGTCACTTCTCATTTTTCGTGTTTCAAAAGGGCTCGGAGTATTGATTCTTTTATTCCGAACGCAAAGTAAAATAAATATCATATTTGAAGTCATTGCTGCTTCAGTTCCACACAAAATAACTTTGGAAGCAGGCTAACTTTGAACGCTCAGCCGCTTTCCTAAAAAAATTCAACCACAAGGCGATGAACTGTTAAAATATGGGGAGCACAAAGTGGAAATTAATTCCTACACGAGCAAGATGAACATATTTTCTGCGAGTGAAAAATGGAAATAATTATTCTCAGTACAACTTGGTGAATTTGCCTACATTGGCGAACAAACTACTGCGGCAAACCACTTCCTACGTGTATGCAAATGGTTGTAAATTCCTCAGAAAAAAATCTCGTAATCCGGTGCCAAATATGTCAAGAATTCCACCCATAGATCTCCAATAAATCCTTGGCTAGATCAGTCTGACACGAAATTAACTGGACGTGGTGTTGTCATTGTGTAAACATTTCGTGTAAACTGTTGACACATTTTTACGACCTTTTCTTTACATCTTCATGTAATGGATGCAATAAACAAAATCCACAGCGCAGATAACCACGGGGTCGTAAATATATCACATCTTAACTGGTATCCTTCATAATTCGTTGGTGCACAGAAACAAAACACACCAGTTGGAATCTCTTTTTAAACTCAGTGGAAAAGTGTCCATTCGTAAAACATGTCACTAACCCAATTCCCTAAGGCTTAAAATGAATTACGCATGCAGTGACCAATATTTTATGTGTGGCTTATATGGAACTACAAAAAGGACGATTGAGAAAGTCGATAGTATAATCATGGAGGAAGATGCAGGAATATTTGACCTGAACCATTTTCCCGAGTAAATTCATAACGGTCTAGATGGTGCAGCAACCAAGACATTGTGTCGCCGTCGATGCGGCATTTGGGATGGCATAATTAGTACTGCTGTAATTACAACAGACACAAGGTTATAGCAACAATCAATTCACAGCAATCAATTCGTTAATTAATGAGGCCTATTTGTGCCATTCTTTGACTCACCTTGTCGTCTTCAACTGTCCTTCCCCGTCGCTGTTGACGCAGATCTTCGGGTCCCTATTGTCCCCATGGTTCATGTGCGAGATTTGTATCCTGCGTTTTAATTAACCTTTTCCGATGGTCTAAAAATATTGCAGATGATTCTGCATTCCCTCTGGCATAAGAAGTGCATGCTAATTTAAACCAGCAGTCCAAATAGGAAGGAATGGTTGTCGCTCTTCTAATTCCAGAATATCGATAGATAATGCAATATGACAGTGTTTTTGACATTTTGTCCCCGTTTATTATTTCCCATCGTTTTTAGTCACTTTTTGTTTTAAAACAAAACTAAACTGGAATAAAAATATTTTAATGACTAGCGTCTCTGCAAATATCGAGATGAGGTTTTTAATAACGCATAGTACTGCATGCACGCGTCTAGCACGTGGTCAATACATTTCGTTGTTACTGTCACACCGCCCTCACGCGGTAAATCAAGGCCAGTCAGAAACTTCTAAATAGAATAAACACAAACGATATAAGATTATTTTTGTACAGCAAAACATTTCATACACATTTTATTTCTCACACTCGCATCTTTTGAAAATTATGAATTAAACCAGTGACAAATTGGGATTTTTTTTTTTATGAGATACAAGGTTGACTAGAAGTAGAAATGCTTTACTTGAAAATGTAATCAGTAGGGTGAACTTTATAAATGGAAAGGATGTTAACTTACTCTTAGTAACAAACCTAAATAATTGTGTACAGGCCAGGGGAAAAAAGTACACCCACATATCACTAACATGTCATTTAAACCACTTTGCGCAGGGATTATTTTTGCCGAAAATTTCGATTTTTGCAAAAGGCAAAATTTTCCACCCAATTTCTGATATACAGCCAAATGCCACAAATACTGATTCGCAAGAGTCATTTCAACAGTTTTTGTACGATATTTCGTGCCGAAACCTCATGTGTATCAACACTCTGAGGTGTGCACTGGAGCGTAAATTGTACAACAGTAGGCCGTGCATAATGGCAAATTCAAGATCAACACACGGTCTGCCTCCACAGACTTGTGTGACTTTGTGTGTGTGTACAAAAAGCACGAGGGATTAGCCTGTCTAGACGTCACCCTGAGGCGAGTCGAGGCAATCTTGACGTCTTAACCCGGCAGCCGTGCCTGTGTATAAAAACAGTCAGTGCGTGCTATCATGCCCGCCGACGTGATTTGGTTTAATGCTGATACACTGTACTTCAGAAAATAAGTGGGCAACATTTTTTGGGTAACATTTTTATTTAAAAAGTATTTGACTAAAAGTGATACCTCGCACACAATTTTCATTTTACACTTTTAAGTTTGGCAAAGCTTACTTTTTTATATTCAACATTGTTTTTTTTGTATGTATCACTTTAAACTGACACAAATCCAAAACAATCCAATAAATAAACGAGTTGAAAACACTTTGCTTTTTCTCACAAAAAGTTGAGAAAAAATCTCTAATAGCTAAATTAGAAAAGTCCCCAGTTTGGAAGACTTTCATAATGCTTTTTAAGTTTGCTCCAATAAATAAATACAAATATTTTGCTTAAAACTATATACAATGATTCAGATAGTATTTAAAAACTAGTGCAGTCGGCTATAATACACAACTGTAAAGGTGTTGGAAAAGGGTTACACGGTCCCTAAACATGGTTTTATTTATATGAATATTTGTACAGAATATTGAATTAGTGAATGGGGATTTTCACAACAAACCAAAAATATGTATTTGTGCTGGGCTAACTGTTCTTTAACCGAGGTGATAATTTAACCCTCCCCCCGCCCCCATACAACACAGCTTTTGTCACTTTTTATTTTTGGAAAGGTTGACTTTTTTAAAATCTTGACTTATTTTTTTTAAAGAGTACATTCTAAATCATAATTCGCAAAGGTTGCTTGAATTTCTTCTTCATGAAGAAGTCATAATGTTGTTGATGTTTCTATTTTTTGTGACATTTTGGTTTTAGTTATGATTAGAATTAAAAAAAAAATATCAAAATGACAAAGCAGCAGATCAATTGAATTTGTCTTTTTTTTCGGATTTATATTCAATTGTTTTCAGGTCCTGCCTGATCATTTTGTGAGTTGTACAAACATTTGAAATACGATTTCATAATTCATAAAACGCCTAGTTGGAGAAACCATACCAATAATTGTAACCACTTTGATAAATTATCATTAACTATCGTCTTTGTAATTGACTAACTAAATCCAAATACATCTGAAGAAAGGTGACTAAGATAAAAACAATTATTTTTGTTATCATTGAGAAATAAACATCTGAAGATCAAGCCTGCAATTTCAAATCCAGTCAACATATATATAAAACTTCAATCCACACTGAAACCAAAAGATGAGATTCGCAAATTTCCCAAAATTTTTACCGGAAAAGCTGTCTGATACAAAATTTGTTCATCATGGGTAAAGAGCAGTGTTCAACTTGAGTAATTTGATTTTTTAGTACAAGGATGACCTGTGAACTTTGAACCCTAACCCTTCAGCAATTGGTGGATTTCATACTGCCTTTCAATGGGGTCAGCTTTGCGGTGGTCCGTATGTCAGAGGAAGACTTTGACCGCCGCGTCAACTGGTAGCGTTCCTTCAACTGGTCTAGCGCCCTCATGAGACGGACGTTGGCCGCGTCCAGGGACTCTATGCGCTTCTCTTGGGCCTCGATGATTTTCTGCTTGGCGGAAACCACGGCGACCATCTCCTCTTGCTCCTTCTTGAGTTCTTCCTCGACGGTGACAAGTCTAGAGAAAATAACAATTTACAGTCGTTAAGACAGTTCCAAGATTTGAGAGCCAATGCTAAAATCGTCTTGTAAAAGTCAAGCATCAGGAATAATGCCATCTCACTATTTGGTTAGTGCTACTTTCAGATCTCTATTAAACCAAACCAACCAACCATAAAGAGCTACATTAGGAAGATGGCATATTTTAAATTCACATCCTGTTTTTTTTCTCTCAAAATTCCGGGAATTTGGTTAGTAAAGAGGTATCACTCCAACTTTTCCAAATCTGTCATTTTTTGGGAGATTTACTCATTATTTAACGTCATAGTTCACACTGGATCTTTGTTAGGTCACTGACAACCAAACTTTTTATTCTAGAGTTTACAAATTGCAAGCAAAGTTTGATAACATTCACGTTGTCGGACAATTACCAAATATACATAGATGCCTACGGAAAAAAACTCATTCAGTCTGTGATAAATAAGACACAAATATGATTTTCAATACCACATAAAACACCAGTCACCACGGACATGCAACAGCTAAAACATAATTCCCGACACCAGATAAATGGCATTCCTCAGCATTCAATATAAAGTAATATATCCCAAACTAAAGAAACATTGCATTTTTTTGCCTCAATTGGAAATCTATGCCCCCAAACAATTCAAAGTGAAGCTATGAAATAAGATGAAGAGTGAAAAGTTAAACAATTATAGAGTTAAAGAATTGATGAATAGTAAAGGGAATAAACGTGTGCTTGGCTGGTTTTGAACAAGTCCGTTTAAGACAGGCTGGGGGAAGGGACGCTGAGAATAGCATGAGCCAAAGGCAAGGGATATTTTTGGCGACTAGGCCCCCAGCCGGTTATAAACGGACTTGTTTAATACCAGCCAAGCACACATTTATTCCTTTTCCAAAATACCTTTTCAGTCAAAGAGTCAAAACGAGTAAAAAACTATACATTTCCAACGATTTTGTTCAACAATTTTACTTCATGTTTTTGAAACACCCCTCTAACTATGTTATGGTATGTGCCTCTCGCGAGTAGTCGTTAACAACTCCTTACATGGAGATTGGTGCGCGTGTGGTGCGTACTGCGCGATGTGGCACAAGCGCAGCTGTGCCGGTGTAGTGTGAATTTAGGACAATGAAATACTGACTCATTGGTTGCATTGCGCATGCCTATGAGGATTGTGAACGAACAACCAATAAATGGTAAAAGGAACTGGATTTCATAGGAGTCCAAATGTCATGTGACACTGGAAAAGTGTTTATGACCAGCAAGCCGGTGTTTTACCAACCGTTTAAGACTGGCCACGTGACGGGCTCTCAACCAATAGGAATGGGTAAACTGTCTGAGGTATTTATGAATGGAGGTTTAAGTTTTGTTATCTTTGTATTTTTGATAACTTTAATTTACTGCATTAACTATACATGAATTTGTTGGTATCTTGAATGTACACCAGCACCAGAAAACATTTGTAATTCCCAAGAGGTTTAGAGTAACATCTAAGCACATAACAGATCAGATTCAATAAAAAAAATCCATTGACCTCTAATAAATAAAAAGATCTCCGCAGAGACTTTACAACTAGGAAAAACAGACATGAAATGCAGTGCAATGCTATGATGAAGTGATAGAAATGCAGAAAGAAAATCTGTTACAAAAGTAGAAGAACAAATGAATAAATAAATTACGGAGTGTTTATGATGATGCCATGAACAGCAAAGAAAACAAAGAAGGTTAGATTATGATGAAATGATGCACGGCAAAAGAAAGGGAAGAAGAAAAAAACCCAATCTGGCTTGGTCTCACGTGGCCAAACTCTCACAGAGGGCGCTGTTATAGTTTGCATAATTGAAGAATTCAAGTGCAGTCAGTTTCATCTTCAATTGCAAATAGTAGATCTCCATAGCGATTTTTGGAGTTTCCACTACAAGTTTTATGTTTAGAAATTTGTATACACATCAGAAATGCATGTTGTTTACAAAAGTAATGGTCAATATAAATGATAATTATTTCAAGAAGTTTTTTGTCTGTAAATAAAAAAAAAATATGAAAGCAGAGTGCCCTTTGTGAGTTTTTGGTGCGTGACATTACGCCAGCAGTGCAGAAGTGATTCTTACAGACAAACTTTAGCTGTGCAATAATGCGGGAAGTTGACCCTGCCAAGTCACTGTCGGATGCATGGTGGAACGCAGATACAGACGAATGGGTGGTCGAATGGGTGGTCGGACAGATGTTGATAAAGAGCTGTAAAAATGGCCATAGAGACAATGGCATACATACCAAGTGTTGGGGTTGTTTGTTTTGGTCGTTTGTTGGTGTTGGTGGTGGTTGTGCGTTCGATTAGCCGGGGCCAACGAACGACGTAGATAACGGACTTAAAGTGACGGCACGCCACACACAGAACACAGATGCAATTATCAAAGGGGGGAAAAACCAGAGGTGAAAACAGAAAACGTAAATTGTTTTTTTGTGGGTTTCAATCTCGGATAAGAGTGCTGGAAAGCTATCCGCTATCATGATGTGTCTTGCCATGATTGGTGCATGAAAAACAGAGTATCAAAAAAGCTGGAAATGTTAGAGCAGAGAAAAGAGGCAAAAATAACCGGAGAAACATTGGTGGTTAGTTCAAGCAACATGATTCAGCCCATTTTTAATAAGCAGAACTAGAAGCAGGAAGATATATCAACTCCTACCCTAATTTTTGTCTTACTGTTTTATCCCTGAAATTATTATAGAAAAGCCCTCATTAGGAAAGAGTCAAAGTTTGCCATTTTCTCTCCTTTTGGCTTTCTTAACCACTTTCCCCTGCTAGTATCCTATTTTCCTACGAAAATATTTTGCACTTTGTAGTTTTGATGAGTATTTCTTAACTTAAACAGTAGTTTTCCTGGCAATGTCTAGTATCAGCACTCTATTGTGTTCCATTACATAGCACTTTCTATTGAAGGGAAATGGAGGATACAGATTCAGGTTTATTACCTCTAGAAGATCATCTTCCTTAAAAAATTCACACATACATACATTGCCTGGAAGTATTTCTGTACAAAAGCATCCCTAACGTGAACTAATTCACGATCCTATTTAGTAGGGGTTCTACAAATTTGTTCCGACACCAAACCTTAAACTTGCACGAAGCAAACTTCACTTATCATCTGTGACAATCAATAACTACATCAACAACTAATTATAATCCATAAATGTAACACTTCCGAGTCGCATAATACTGTTTCATAGCTCCCCTCCCAAACTCTATTGCTTTGAAATAAGGAACTACACAGAAACTCAGAGAAGACAACGTTGAGATTATCTTTGAGAAGAAAACACGGATTCCTAAAATCCTGTTAGGATTACGACGACTCCTCACCTTGTGATGATATCTTTGATCTGTTTGTCCTTGTCTTCGTGTTGTTTCCTCAGCTCTGTCTGGCTGCTGTCTAGCTCCACTTTCATCTCGGCGATGGCCTTGTCAGCTCGGACCTCTTCCTCTTCCAACTTCAACTGCGTCTCCTCAAGTTGCAACGTCACCTTCTCCAACTCGTCTTTCAGGATCTGGATCTCCAAGGAATACTGGAAATAGAGAAGCTTTGTTTAAGAAAAGCCAAAAGATCCAAATGGATTTTTGAAATTTTTATAACAAAACACTCACCTCTGCTTTCCTACATTTGCGTATAAATGCACGCTAGCGCACAAAGGCTCGCTGAAAAAAATAATCCTAACCACACCATCCGGGCTATTTTGTGTACCACAAAATGTCTTGAAACACAAAGGCTCTTCCTATTTTGCTTCTTTTTTTTTTCAAAAAGGGAGGGATGATAATCATAGGTGGGTGTTTCCTGTAAAGGAATAAATAGTTTGCAAACATATGACTGGACTATGGCAACTGCTGTGGGTGGCCATCTTGCAGGGAAACAATATGACATGTTTCTGATGTCTGCACTTCTGAAAACAACTAATGCCAAAGGCAAGCTTTCTGAAAATTAATGATAAAAATGTTTTTTTTTTGTCCCTCACCACTTCTGTCTGTGTTTCTCTGTCTATGGACGATGGATCCTTCATTCTTCTGGTCCAGACAGGTCCTGGAGGTGATGTTACGATCGGCTTGGATGTGAAGTTGTGCTGCAGCGACAACGATCGTATCTTCTTGCCGATTTGGATGGAAAGTTCTGAGTTCTCCGTCGGTTTGTTGAGAGAACTGCTGGAGGAGGAGCTCTCCGACTGGCAGATCCTTGGCTTGGAGGCAAACTGAGTCATGATTTTCTTGCGAGGGAGTGGAAGCGAGGAAGGACTAGTGGGACTTGTGATGGCACTCATTGACGGGGTAAGGTTGGAGATGCTGAAAGAGATACTGGCAGTACTGGGTAGGACAGGGGTGGTTGGGTAGCGGGTCGCGCTCCTTGGGGTAAGGTTCTTTTCAAGGTTCGTGGTACCCATGAGAGGGGTGCGGGACGTGGGACTTGCGTCTGGGTTTAAATGCTTTGGTCTACAAGGGGAGGTTGGCAAGATGGTCTGGGAGGACATGAAACGTTGAGTTGTAAACGTGACAGATTCAGTTGACTGAGTGGATTGGGGTGCGGAGGTTCCAGTCTGGATAACAGCTTCTGTCCTGACTAGCGTCCTAGCGGGAAGGTCTTCTGAGGAAACAGAGGTCGGGGAGCTTGTGGGCGGGGATATTGAAGGGGAGGAGCTTGAGATATGCTCAGGGTGGGTGTGGCCTAGGTGAGCAGTTTGGGATTCCGGTTTGGGATTGGTGAATGTGACGGCAAACGAGGGTTGGTGATTGTCATTGTTTATGTGAAGGATGGCTTGGGAGCGTTGCTTGAGACCGCCACTGGAGGTGGGGCTTCTGATGCCTTGGGAGGAGGGGTTCGGGGACTCCCGTCCAGGAGCAATCACTGATGAAAAGAACGCCGCCTTGGCAGCATTATTCATAGCACGAATTGCTTCCGTGGGAGATGTGACGCTTGGCTGAGTCCGGGCAGGGTCGAAGAGAGAAGTACTGCTGTAGCTACTGTTGATCTGAGGTTTAGTCACATTGGCATTGATCGCACTGCTACTCTGGCTCTCCCCGATTTGCCTGTCGACTTTCGGGTAGAGATCAACAGAGGTGATGTTGTGTGAGCGGTGAGCAGCTTTGGGTAGCGTGTGTGCCATAATGTCTACCTTCGCGGATGACGAGGGTCCTTTTGACGATGCTGTCTTCCTATTCATGGGCGGAGACACACCTCCACAGGAGGAGCTATTTTGAGACACATCCCCATCGTGGTTGGATGAAGCCCCGTCTGAGTTGCTAGGACTGCTGTTGGAGGAACTGACACTGTCCGAAGCCCCAACTTCCAAGTGTCGCAAGGATTTCTTAGAGAGTAGGTAGGCTGGATTTTGGAAGGATAGCGGTAATGTTCTGTTCCTCCGTTTGCCCCGTGCATCCCCGCCTGCATTTCTATCTATGGCAAGCGTGGTTCTGTTTGTTTCGTTAGTACTAATTGCTGGATTGGCGGCAACACTTCTTTCCAGACTGACTGAATACGACTGATTGACAGATTTTTTGGTCTCTGATGTCATGGAGACCACCATGTCTCCTTCCAACTCCTCCATAATCCTCTCCTCATATTCTGTCGTCGTTCGGACCTGCTCTACTGTCGTACTCGATTCGATCTGGGTAGCGTCAGTCTGGGTGTTGCCAATCTCGAAAACAGCCGTGCTGAGTTCTGTCTTCCCATTGGTCAAGTTCGTATTATCCTGCTGGATGAAATCCACCAGGTTGTTCACCGTTGATGATGTGATAGACCGCTCCATGGCAATGTTATACGGTGGCAGCATCTCTACATCTGTCGAGTCGGACAACTTGGCATCGTCGAAGATCTTATTCAGACTCTTTTTGCCCATGGGAGACGTAGCCGTGGACGTCATGGTAACTGTTGTGCTGGATGAGCCTTGAACCATCTGGATGAAGTTGGAGGAGCTGTAGGGTATTGTTCCCTCAGGTAGTTTGCTGTAGGATGTGATGCGAGCTAAGATGCTCTTCAAGGGGCCAACCTTGTCCTCTGACAGCTGCGGAAACAAGAAGAAATCATGAGTGGGTGAATTCCTGAAAGTAAACAGAGTGCACAGCACCCTCTGTAGTTGATGAACAGGGCATATGCTGCAGTCTGGCCAACATCTCCTCAGTGTGGTTTTGTCAAGATTTGTTTGTGTTCAGCAACAAGTGAGTATGAGGAATTGGGTTGATTGGAGGCTGAGGGTAAGGTTCGGGGGATGGTGGTGCTGGGGGTAGGGCTCAGACTGGGTGTGGGATCAGTTGGGTTGGATCTAGGCGTGGAAATGGGCGACAGGCTTGGGTTTGGATTGGGAATGGGGTTGGGAATGGGGTTGGAGGTGGAGGTGGGGGTGGGTTGGGTGTGGGGGGGGGGGGCACAGGGTTGGGGTAGCATGATATACCTTTTCACAGTCATCCAACGTTTCAACCAGTAAGCTATGAAGCAGCGACAACTCCTTGCCCAGGTCTGTGTAGCCGTTGAACTTCACCGTGTTGGCCTTGTCTGGAGTGCTCTAGAAAATTGGACAAAGCACAACAATGAAAAACTGAACTTACTCTGGACTCTGTACGCAAGTATTCCCTCTACAGTTCCAAATAAAGAGATGGGGAGACCACTCAGAGGAAATTCAAATACAATGCACGGTGATTATGAAAGACGCTATTGGTTTGCGCACATTCAGAATAAAATAAGTTGTGCTTATTCCGTGCCATGCGCACGAACAAGTATCTGCAGGCTATATATAGCGCACCGCCAGGTTCCACATGCGCACGCAATGCGCGCAATGAATGCAGTGCGATATCACCCTCGGTGTGTGACATGCATTTTTATTGTCCAGACACGTGGACGTCCTAGCCCATTGAAACTACAGTATCCAAGCACAAGATATAACAAATACTATTGGTGCAAGGAGTCAATACCGACAAAAGTCTTCACATTTGTTTAGCTAGTGTGAGTTGCAAAACGTAAAACCAAATTGAGTAGTTTATCATTAGGACTTGGACTTGATAAATGTTGACAGAGAGGTGATTGTCTTACCGATATTTCTTGAAGGAACGTCTTCATGTTGCACCATTCTCGCTCCAAGAACTCGTTCATGAAGACCATGTAGCTTTCTTTGGTTCCAAACCTGTGGGTGAGGAAGACAAATAAACAACAAAAAAGTTAGTGTTAATGAATACGCTGCTCCACATTCATTTGCTTTCATACTCTGACGGGACAGATCCCGACAAAAGTTGGAAAGAGATTTCACCAGTAGCCAAACCATTTTGAAAGAAGAAGATGAAAGAAATGAGATGGAAAGTAAAGGAAGGACCTTGTCTTGACTGCCACAATCATTTCCATATTTACTTTGTGACATTTTAAGAAAAAAATTAATACTTTTGGAGAGCCTTCAGGAGGTTCCAAGACTTACTTTGTGAAGTTGGCAAGACCCTGGACCGTCTTGGCAATGAGGGTGAGGCAACGTGACGTCTTCTCGCTGGGATACTCCTGAATCAAATCAAAGAGACTGGGCGACATGATGGCAGGGCACAGGAATCTCAGGAAGATACAGCCACTGATAAGCTTCTCACAGATGACCTGGCCGTTGGGCTGATTCTGACTGTGCTGCGAGAAGGAGTTGAAGACGGCGCGGAGCTCAGAGGGAAACGCAGCCGCCGAGTTGACAATCTTACAGCAGGCCATCTCACACAGCATGGTCAGTGTGGCTTGGTGCTGCTGGAGTAGGATACTACTAGAGACCTTGGTAGGATCCACCTGTTGGATCAATCCATTATGCAAATGAGTCAATTCGCATGAGTTAACTATTACTCAGTCTTAAATCATCGTCATATTTCCACATATGCATTTTCCCCCGCAATACTGGAATAATGATCCTTTTAACGAAAAGTTATACAAAGTTGAAAACTGTGATTCTGAAATCAAAACCAATTCTGAAATCAAAACCTGCATTCTGAAGTTAACTTGAAATAATTAAAACTAAAATGTTTGAAATTTCAAAAAGTAACCAAAAATAAGCTCACCTCACAATCCTCCTCATTTTCATATATTGTGTGGACAAAGTCACCAATGGTGTCTTGTAAGTACTGTGGAAAAAAAAAATATTAAGATCTTCAAAAATGGATTAAACAAATTTGTATGAGTGAGGCTAGCCATACAGTCATCTTGGACATAAGGTTAAGATCAACGCATCTCAACATGGCTGCTTTACCTTTCCACCGATCAGCTTCATGTATGCCTCCATGGACTTGGTTGCCATGGTGTTGGCTCTGAAAACCAGGCTCTCATCATCTGAAAAAAAAGTACAAAACAAAGCATTGCTCAGATAACATTCAATGGACATACTGAGAAATATTAAGGCAATAAAATTTGTTTAACCGTTTAGTGAATGTACCATCCAAAACAGCACTAGCACGTTAGACTGGTGTTCCAGAGCCAAACCAATATTATTCGCAGCATCTCAAGTCGACCCAACTTTCTGACAGGCAAACTTTACTTAAGGCCTTTTCATCCTAGACAAAATTCAGGGGTGAGGCTGGGTTGACCCAGGGTTGAAAACACATGGCGTTTCACACTTGGAAATTATAGATGCGTCAACCCTGAGATTGATTTTGCCCCGGGTTGAACTCAACCCTGCTCCAGACCAGGGTTGAGATTTTCAACCGGGATTGAAACTCTCACCAGGGTTCAAAACAGTAGTAACCGAGCGAAATAAGCTTGGTTGGCACGAAACAAGTGCGAAACGATGCGGGATTGAACGTAGGGATGAACAAATTACAAACTGAACCTGGGGCGGCACTGGGTTCCCCCAGGGTTGAGTTCAAGCCAGGTTGAGAGGCTCTAGTGTGAGAAGGCATTTATTGATTTTCCTATGACTGGACTCCTTCTGGGTGAAGTTGCCCAACAATTTTCAAAAGTAAAACTCATAATTGCTCATTCCCATCTTCGGAATCATTTGGAATGCTAGTCTAAAACAGTGTTACTCACTGTATCTACTAACCATCTCAGACAGTTTCAGACAGTGGTTGTGAGAGAAAAAAAACCTCTTTCTTTCAAACTTCACACTCCGTTTTTGTTGTTGTTGTAAGGAACCTTACACAAATAATTCCTTAAGAACACAAGCCTAACAAATTAAAGATATCTCCCCAATGCTTTAAGTGGCTCAATTTACTCACTCATTGTTCTTGTCTCCGTCATGACCAACTCCACCAGAAACTCGCTGGCCAAGCCGAGGCAATGGAGTACTTTAATCAGCGACGTTGCAATCTCCTCTTTTGTTTTGACGTTAATCTGCTGCTCAATGAGTTGACACAAGCTGACGGCGTTCTCTTTCAAGTACTGACAGAAAAAAAGGAAAGAAAAGTGAATATTAGCAGTTGGATAATAAAGACACCCAAGGGCGCAATTCAAACAGTTTTCGCATACTTAATAATATACTTGAAGCCATTAAAATTAATGCATGTGATTCAAATGCAATGATGTGATTGGTCAAAATCTATCGGAAAGAGCGCCCTCTGGAGTTTACTGAACTTCAACATAAGAAACGATGATTAACGGTTTACAAGTGTGCACAATGAACTGGCATGCCATGACAACGCATTCATTGAGCAAACTCCGAACTGGATCATGTGTCCAGGGCTGCGATTATATTTATAGAATCGAATCACGCAAACTTCTGAGTCATATTTTGAATGACTTTGCTCATCGCGGACATGAAGATTTCAGAAGACTTCTGCCATTAACATGCCTTTTAAACACTCAAGCCTATCTTTGTTTTCTGCAATTTGCCCCGCTCGGTCAAGAACAACGGGGTAATTTCTGTGATGGTCATCGAAACTGAATTCCGACAGTTCGCCTTTCCTTTCCATCAATTCTCAGGTCTCTGTGGGAATACCGACCGATTCCTGCTCTGGCCAAAACTACTTCCTTTTCACAACCTGTCATAACTCGTAAGTCCAGCAACGTTTAGGATTAACAGCTCTTATCAAGAAGACATATTTTGGGACAATCATCGCAACCTTATCTTGACAGTCACGGAATCTTTTTCCGTCATCTAGATTCATCAGCTGGAAATGGTGACCTGTTTATTTCTGAGCGCAAATCATTATCACTCAGAAAACCCGACATCAAATTTTACTCAGATTAACACTGACAACTTTTGTAGGAGTTGTCAAAATAAAAAGTACTGAAAGGTCATGACCCCACTGACACAACTTGACCTACATGTACATGTCACTTTGTAATCACTGATCTCTGTATAAAGACTGGATAGCATATGCCCACATGCAGTTCATTTACTTATTTTCACATTTTGACCAGTTTGCCCCGGTCTTCCAAAAAATGGCTGCCGATATACGAACATTCTACGCGTACATACAGCGCGCTGTATCAAGATTTGCCGCGCTTTTTGATCACTTACATGTATTATGATGGTCTAAAAAGGGCAACTTTTCGTCGTGATTATAAATCCAAACTGCGGCATTCAAAAAGTGAACCATGACGTTTGAAAAACTGTGAACAGTGGTCAGTGGTGGGGTGGACAAAATGTATAAAAAGGTGAACCACGATGATACTGTCAATCATAACTGCCTCATAAGACGACAATTTGTTCTTTATAGACCAACTGGTCTCCTTAATATGGCTTCAAATGGCTTTCTTCTGTGGTTCTCTGTACGCTATCCAGTCTTTAATAAGAGATCAGTGTTTGTAATTAACCAAAAAAAAAACTGATCTAGTACCTCAGCTGCATTTATATGTTATCTATTACATTAGACAGGTTCACTAAACAATCATGGTATATTTGAGGTAGGTCTGGTAACCCAGCTTAATTGGTGTAGTTTTTCAAGCAGATTAGACTGGTGGGACTAAGTCTTTACCTGTGCAAGTTCTGAGTACTGTGCTATGGGTAGAATACTGATGCTCTGATATCTTGCTTTGATTCGTAGACTAGGCGTGTCACCTTTTGTAGAGGTGTTGGTCAAGGGATACCTGAAAAGAGAAGGAGGATATAAGAAAATAAGAGAACGAAATGGTTCAACATGTAGAAATGATTGGGTTATTGCCATCTTATTGCGGTGTCTATGGTCCGAATGCTACACTCAGTAATTCAAAAACAGTATCTGTAGTGGTAGTGCACAGATGAGCATTTTTAGAGGAAAGGGTTGGAATTTATACGAGAGGGCAGGTTTGCAAAACATTACTTCTCTTGCCTTACAAGTGTCCCTGGTTCAGTGTCCCTGGTTCGAATCCCTCAGTTAATTTATTTTAAAGTGAAAAACAGCATGCAGTGATGGTCTAAAAACAAGGGGCTAAGGCTAAAAAAACCAATCTTTTGTAACAATGTTGCAAAAAAAAGGAGGACCTTCACAAGCTCTGTTTCTGGTGTACATGGTTCGAATCCATTCATAGACACCATGTTGATTTGTAAGATGCGTTAGTATGCTGAAAAGTTTTTGTCAAATAATAAAGATTTACGGGTAACGGGATACAGTCACCTGCTCATATATATATATTTTTTAAACCATTAACTGGCTCAGTTTGTGCAGACCGAGTCATGTTTATTACTACGTTAATGTCTTCCACGTGTATTAATGATTGGCAGATCACTTGATGCCTGTTCTATAAAGACATCAATACGCACATAACACACTCTACACAATCTACCAATTAGGGGTATCAAGGTTTTGGGTAGGGAACAAAAATCCTCACTTCCTGCATCAGAAATTTAGACGCCCTAAGGTCGCTGGGATTAAAGCCGAAATCTAACAGTGTGGGGTTCGGCTTACCATTTCTCGATCGTTGCCCGATTGCTGATTGGGTCCAGCGGAATGGAAACGACCCCTGAAACAGGAAATGAATCAAGAAGGGACACAAATGACGGAAGGTGATTGACAAACGAGGAGACTTCGTTAGAGTGGATGGATGGGACAACCCTCCCCTAATAAACTACTAACAGATGTCTTTGTTAGCGGAGAGTTCCTTTAGGGCATCAAATTTCAACTCTGACCAAAAAAAAAACCTTTGAAGAAAAAAATTACAAAGTTTTATTGTAAATTCTTTTTTCAAAATGGAGGATGTTAATCATGAGTTTAGTTAACTTGAATTTGGTATTGGTAGGCAATTTGTTCCATCAATGGTGGTTTTAACGTTTAATCAAAATTCACATTTTCATTATTCTCTGACTTTAATCTCTAAATAAATTTTTTTTTACATTAGCATAAAATGACAGTCAGTTTTATTAGATGAGTACTTTTTTTGAGATTATTTATCCAACACGGAAATTATCTTGCTAATAAAAGTTTATAACAAGCAAAACAACTACTAAAGTGTCCAACACGGGCCTTGTGTAGTGTGGTTTTTATGTGTGGCCTAATTATCTTGTCTTGATACTTTGTTGGTTGGTTAGTTGGTTGGGTTGGTTGGTTGTTTGTTTCTGAATTTTCAAACTTACCTATGTAGTTTTTGTCCCTTCTTTTCTTCTTGTCCGGTTCTTTGTACAAATGAACCTTGACGCTTTTAGCTTCTGGAAGACATCTGAAAAAAAAAATACAAACAAATATCTTAGAATTCTCTTGTAAGAAAGGTAACTTTTAACATTACATTCACTATTTGCAATGGGCTTCGCATTCTATAAATCTACAAATTTATATTGTTTTCGTATAAAAAAGTTAATAAATTTCATCTTCAGATGTAGCTAAAATGAGGACGAATCACCAAATGTTTTACTTTTTAAAGAGTAAATAATGGCAATAAATAATGCAAAACAGCCTAAAATATGTCTTCAACCACAAAGTCATTCACCCTCCAAATCTTTGTCATCAGACCCCACCCTGAGATTTCCCCCTTTGCACTAATATCAAATTTCCCTGTATACACTCAAACCATTCTTAGCGCTAACTCAGGCCCGCCCCTCTGGAGCCAAGGGAAAATTCAAAGGAAATTTTTCATCAGTGAAAAGCTTACGTGAAAAGGAACTGTTCGCCCCAGAAGACCATGTCACCTCTGGACTTGGCGGTGGTTCTGGCGTAGAGCGTATCATCCAGACAAATCTCACAGTAGTACCTGCAACCAAAAACACAACGGTGAAAAAAACTCCTTCGCGATACTCGACAGACGTTCTTCATTTGCCCCTAGTTTTTATCAGTTCGCAGCATGACGTGTGACTGCGCAGTTTCAGTCACTTCTGCGGTTGGTCTGCTACGGCAACTTGCCAGACCGATGATGGTTGATAAAGTACATTCATCCACTTTCTAGACTTTTGGTCTACCGCGTCGTGTGCCAGTGGTTTCCCGTTCGGGTAATTTTACGTCATGGTTTTCTCGGATATAGAAGTTACAGGAGTGGCTGGTTTGGGTCTAATTTGGGTCATACATGTAACAGGCCACAGTGACGGCACAAATTCAACAATTATGCTGTGTTTGTAAATCAAAACTTTTCAGGTAACTCAGACTTAAATCAGGTAACTTTTAGCTTTCATCGTAAAAGATGGAAGGCCCAATGTTCTGATCCTAGTAGAAAGATTCTACTAACATCAAAATGACAGGCCCTTTAATTTATACTATTTGTAACTTCTCAGGTCATTCCAGTCAGTAACTATTTTGCAATTCCTCTATATTTCTTAACTTTTATAAAGAAAAAAACATACAAAACATGAAACAATAATTTGGCCAAAATGAGAAAACACCAATACTTATTTTTTTTCCGACTCACTTTCTCTTGAGTGGTACATTTTTGCCCTCCACCACCCACAGTCTCAGGACGCTGTCCTTCCGTCGTTTGTTGTCCTTCTCCGGGTGAACGGCGCTGCGAATGCTGCGATAGGGAATCACAAAGACAAAATCAGTCAGGTCAAACATGGTTGCGATCAATTCCATCGAGACCAATCTCCGAGTGAAAACCGAGAGCAAAGATGTCATCGACAGCTCCGAAGTCAAGTAGTTTGAAGTATGAGCCACACAAGGGTGGTACAGAGGTTTTTATCCGTTTCCGCTGTTCGATGAATTCCCCCCCACACCTTGATCTACGTCAAACAAAACTATCCTTTAAATCAATCTCCAGTACAACTGAACTTGAAAACAAAGGTAAAGAGTCCCACAGCTGCAAAGTTTGACTTCACACAATCACACCACCAGTTGTTAATTAAGTGTTAAAGACCTCTTAATCTTCACGCAAGTATGACTCGGTCTCGGTAAAACAGGCCGTACGTAGTCGGAATCAAAATAATCAAACTCTAGATTGCTGATGGTTATCCTCAAAATTCTGTACCTGAAACTTTGTGGTAACAGATAGTTTTCTGGGTAATCTCTTAATTTGCTTGTTCCTGTTTTCAAGGTTGTTTGGTTTTCTTCGAGGTAAATCACGAAGACAGGACAGCTAAATCTGGGGACTTAATCTTCGCATTCAGTCAAAGCTACGATCAAGGTGTTAAAGGGGCATGATCGTTAGTTAAATTCTGGTCCAGAATATGTGACTCCCCTTACAGTAAAAGCTGTGCATACATGGGTGGAATTTTAATGCCACAAAAGCAACCGCGAACTGTCTCTTAAACTTACAAGAAAATGAAGAAATTTGAATCCTTACAATTGAATACCTAGAACTTTCTATTCTAACAAAATTTTGGAAAGATTATTCGTTCAACACTATGAGTTATCAAACAGTGTCACTATTTCGAGAATTTTATACAGTAAGTCAATTTTGGGGTAATGTGGTTGCAGTACCCGCTGCTATATCAGATTTCGAACCAGCCAGCCGGCAGGGGGCGGTGGTCGAGTGGTAAGACGTCTGCACTAGTAAGTAGGAGGTCCTGGGTTCGAGTCTCACCCAAGTGATTTTTTTCTCATGATCACTCGGAACAACACTGAGTTTACAGTGTTTATAAAAAATACATCGGTGAAGAGCAAAACCCAATATTGAAGTTACATCAGCCCGACACAAGTTCCACCTTATGAATTTTCGGAAATTAAAATTATCAGCACAGCCTTAACAAACAGTAACCTATCAAAAAGGAACAGCCGCTGGCTTCATGACATAACTAATCAACAGTAGTAATTCATTCTTTCCCTGTTATGCCCGCCTCCGTCAAAACACTGTCAGACAGGAACTTTTTCCACCAAGGATCTGGAACTTTAAGAGGAACCTTGAAGGAACAGCTGGAGAACTTCCAAGATTTGAAGAGCAAGTGTTGAAAACTGGGGTGGAAATGTGGGTTTTCCGGGCTGGAATTTGGCGTACTTTGGGTAAACATAGGAGGAAGTCTTGTTAAGCAGGAGGGTGGGGATGGGGGTGGGGGGAAGGTGGGGGGTGGAGGTAAGGAGGAACACTTGGTCCACCCACCTCCCCCCGTTTGTGCGAAGTTCCTTATTTCCCCCCCCCCCCCTTCTGAAACAACCAGATGAATACAACCCACTAGTAAAATCCACATTAGTTTTACAGCAATTCCACTCTTGCCGAGCACCATTCAAAAATCCAATTCCACTTTGACACAAGCTTTAAGGCACACTGTGGCCATCTTGGTCTAGTTTCTGGATTCAACCTTACTATTTTACCTTACAAAAAATAATGTCACCAGCCTATTTTTGCATTGAAAACCTACGTTAGATTCTTGTTTTCCAAAGTCAACTACAGCTATTTTTTTTTCAGCACAGTTAACCACCACAAGTTCTCTGTTCTCTTGAAAATATCTGCAGTTCTTCCCCTGTGAATTGATATTTTCAGCCTCATAGTCAAATAATCTATTCTTCGCTTTTCTATAAATCTGTCCAACCTTCACAGGTCATTTCCTCTTCTTCACTTCAAAAGTACCTTCAGAGGGATATTCATTTGTTCCCCTGTGAGAAGTTATTGTCAGACCTCATCAATGAGCTTTACCTTTCCATCCATTTATCTCGTTCGCTGGCCGAGCGACACGAGTAGTACTTCTTGCCCAGCGAGTTGGTGATCTGGAAGCAGTGGTCCTGGCCCAAGATGCTGCTGTGTAGTGGCAGGATGACCAGGTCATTGGCCGAGAGATCGAAGACGTCTAAGGACGTCTGAGGCCCAAGGAGGAGAGACTCGTGGGAGTGGGAGGGCTTGATGGAATGAGGGGACGTCATGTCCGATCTGGGCAAAGCCAAAAAAAAACAGGGAAGGAAAACCTTGTCAGATGTGATCAACTTCTTGGGTTACAAAAGATGACATCATTTCCTTAATTTGGGGAGGGAGGATTGGCCATATTATAACTCGGCTTCCCAAATTCTTACAGTCTAATTCCTAGGAGGGCAGTTTTAGATTTCATCGTTTCTTATTCCTTACTCTGTGGTTTCAGCTAAATAAAAAACAGTTTATGGCTTTGCTCTCAAATTTTTTTCGACGAAAGAATTTTTTTTGTAAAAAGGGGAAGAAATGTTGATTCAACCCTGCTACCCTTTCTGCCATTAAAATGATCGTAATCATCTTCTTGGGTTTGGTGTAAAAATCAGGCATAGCGTAAAAGGATGAATAAGTGAATGTTGACCAATTACCAATATTTCCGGTCAAAATTTTAAAAAAGAAAAAAAGAAAGAAATCAAACAGGAAACCACCCTGTGAGATAAAAAAATTAATTGCTTTTATTTTTGAAGACAATAATTCAACCAACAAGTTTCTACGATTTAGCAAGAGGGCTGTGTTACAACTGATAATGTAGTTACCAACGGATAATGTATCACCAACCAATGTCACAACAATTGACCAACACTGAATCACTAACCGATAATGTATAATGGTTACTACATTATCAGTTGTAACAGGCTTCCCTTTAATACAGACAGCATGAATTTACATCTCAAGAGTTTACATGAACTCAACATAGTTTTCCGGCCGTCATTTCTGCCGTATTCTGCACCTGCTGTGCACTGTGACAGTTGTGAAAACTCGTCATGAAATCGACTCTCTGATCGCCACATTCTAATTTTAGGCACTCTGGGCGGACCAATTTATACACAAATAGCGTGTATAACATTTTCAAGGTTGGGTTTGTGACATTTCCCGTGTCAGAATCTTACCTTGTTTTTAATTTAATTCGGGAAGTTGTGGATTGGATGACTTATTGGCTCCACAATTCCAAATCCGGGATTTTGTAGGGTTTAAAATCTAATTTTCCAATAAACATGAAGTACTGTCATTGGTTAAGGGGTGCCTTTGACATTTTCAAGTATTCAACCGAGGATGTATTCAAAATTGACAAATATTTTCCCCCCATATATTTTGGCTTTAAAAATTTTTTTTTTTTTTTTTTTTTTTACAAGTTCATCTCCTGTTCAATTTCAAGGTGAGGATAAATAGTGAGGGGTGAAATTGCAATACTTTCTTGAATTAAACTTAACTTTTTTTCAGCCCCCACCCAACTACCTTTCCCAATTTACTCAAAAAAAGGGGGGGGGGGAAACACAAACAAACAAAACAAAAACACATGACTTACTCTTCGTCCTCTTCTTTCAACGTAGCGTGTTTGTCAAACTTCCCGACGCTCTTGGTCCGCTTAAGAGCAATTTTCATTCGCTTGGGGAAAATACCCTGGTAACAAGAAGAGAGATCAAAGTTAAGACGGACTTCTCCCATGATGCATGCAGTTAATGGTTTTGTTATGGGTGTGGAAGTCCAGGCTATGGTACGTAAATCCAACCAAGTTGGTCCAGCAAATCCAGGATTGTTCAGGTATGTTCTCAGCTGTGAATTGTTATCTCGTCCGAGGTGAACTACATCTTTTATCCTGGTTAGACGAACACCCACTGGTGGTTTCTAACTTCAAATATTGACTGAAACCACATTCCAGCAAGCAGGAAGTGTTTTTCAAAATTGTTGGAAACAGGCTTGGGCAATTCATTCATGAAGCTGCTTCATGATTTTCTGCCTGTATTTTAGTTCAAGCATCTTAGCTGTAGTGACATCAGTTCAACAAGGTACACAAGTTTGCAGGCCTCATAACATAATTGTCTTGATGGCCAGTCTAGCATTACTCGTAACCTTTATTATTGAAGTAAGTTCTTGAAGTCAAGATACACCTAAGGGTCTTTAAGTGGCTACCATCTCACAAAGGAGTTGTGGTGTACTAAGATTTAAGAGTCTGGCTCCTTTAACAAAACCCTTTTGTCTGGTTTCCTAAAGCGCAACAATGCCGTGGTGCCGATACCAAAAATAGCCAACCTGTCACCAGACTAGTGTCTGTCTCCCAGAAATAGGGCTCCTCTGATATTGTAGCTTTTGATGAGAGTGCATGGCCACACTAAAACATTCTCAGAAGAATTCAATGGGGTATTAAAACAAGCCCCTAACTTCACTTTTTCCAGTTTTCCTTGTTCAACGATGTTGGACACTCTTCACAGGGTATTCCAGGAAAGAATGTTTTTCCAGTCTTGCCGAAGTGTCCGAGGAAACTTATCCTGTTTGATGCCCAGTTTTTGTTATCCACATACATCTTGCAAATCAGAGCAAATAGAAAAAGGAAAACATTCCAACTGCAGTTCATTCAATTCCAGTCCAGTAGCTTTTTCCTGTAATCAAAACTTCATCACGTCTCAAAAAACTTAAAATTAAAGAGCAGAACCGAAGCAAAGTGTTGGCGTTCTCCTTGCGATGAAATCTTTGAATTTCATCAAACACAGCGTACTATCCATCTGATTTATAAATAGTCCTCTAAGATTTCCCTTTACACAAGATCAGTATATCTCCGCACGTCAGCATTGACACTAAGCATCACCAAAGATGAAGACACATCTTGGCAACATCCACCCAAGTTGCTCTCCAAGACAAAAAATGAGCACAGGACTGTAAAGACGATAATAAATTCAATTCCTTTGCAATGAGCAATTTTGTCTTCTACAGGAAGACAGCAGGAATCTTAAGACAGCTGTGAGTGTCATTTTTACTTAAAGACCACACAAGTGAAGAAACACATTCACATGTGAATTCCTCTTTGTACAATCTGAGAATGATTCATTCTTGTGGGCAATGAGCAATATTACCTTTACATGTACATCACCCAATTCCTTGACCACCAATCCTCAAAACTTTCATTTCTAGATGGTATCATTTTGATTTCTCACCAGTGACCATAATTGCAATTCTGAGAATCCGTGGAAAGAGGATGATGAAGAAATTACAAATCGGAGGAAATTACAAACTGAAAAAAAAAAAATCCATACTGTATGTGGGGGGTCTGGTAAAACATCTGCAAATATCCTGCTGGGATGTGAACCTTGGCCAGATAATAAAAGGACAAGGTGAGATCAATATAAAATTATGATGAATTTCAGAAACTCACAGGGTCTTAAGAAACTTAGAAGGGGAATGAAAATATTTGACACCCTACTGTCATTAGAACACAGTAAAAAAATTGTCCTTGTAAAAGTAAGGAAAATGTTACTTTTCATTAAAGAAATACAATATCTTCTCTGAAACCGACACATTCCCCTTAAAAAAAAACAACCAAAAGAAATATTCAAAAGGTGATAAGCAAATTAACAAATGACAAATAAACAAATAAATAAAGAAATGACCAAACATAAACAATAAAATAAACACTTCACGATATCCGACTCTAAGACTTCCATTCTTACATTCAGGATGGGGCAGCCGAAGAGAAACCTGTCACAGCAAAGCATCTTGCCGTTAATTACTCGCCAACGTTCACAAGACGAAGAAACAAGAAAAAATTTCCATCGCTTCAGACGAAAGCACCAAACTGAAGATGCAATACCGCTCCGTTATCCTCTTAAAAGATGACACAAAGTCTCAAGGGTCGGTTGAGGTAAATCCTCTCATAAAACCTTCTATTGCAGATAAATCCTCATCCTTCAAGACTGTCATTTTTTTTAATGAAAAATCTTTCCTTGTGAACAATCCTCAAGAGGACACAAATCCTTGATCTTCTTACGTAGAGAACAAATCTCTGCGCCGCATTAATTTCAAGATGACAAGCATGTACCACAAAATACAAATGCTCAGACTCAGAGTACAAGAAATCAACTTCCTTGTAGAGATTTAGAGGAGCTTAACGATGCGACACGGAAGGCAGAAAACTCCCCTCGCACTGAAGGCGATCACCTGGGAGGAAACATCAGAAGACCCGGACTGGTGACTGATCAACCGCTGACTCATTGATTATGATCTTAAGATGGGGTATGCATCTCAAGGATGCATTGGAAGGAGGGAGGAAGATAAAACACCTCAGAATGCCGATGATGGTACTTTCCTTGCATCCCGGGGAGGACTAGCGTGCGATCATAGGTCTAGGGACGAGATGTTGTCTTGCTGCACACTGGGACAATAATAAGACGGCATGCCAGCAAGTTTTTAGCATTCATATAACGCCACACCTTGAGATGAAATATGTTCCTAGGATGTAGAGTGCTAATATCGGAGATATATGCGTGGAGCGGTGTATGAGTCACAGATTTACACATTAAGGGTTGCTTACTGCTCAAGTTAAATATTCTTGCAAAAAAAAACCCAAGAATGGTCAGACAAACACTGACTGTTAACCTCAAAATGGATGATAACGTACAAAGTTTGAGGCAAAAGGACAGACACACTCATACATGATGATTAATTCAGAAGGATGTTTGAAATCTTCGTCTTAAATTTTAACAACTGCACTGTAGTTTGAATGCAATGTCTTGAGTTGCATTTGGTAAAATCTCATGAAAACTCTTGTTTTCTTGAGTCCTAGAATTTGCCATATTTCTCCAACATTTCCCCAAAATTTGAAATGAATTTGAAATCCAAATTGTTCTTTACGCTTAGAAGGATCCCCAACAGCATAACACAAAATATTTCAAAAAGTCGTTTTTGATAGACTGTAACAATTTTTTTTCCCTCTGTAACAATTTTGTTTCTCTCTGTGACATTTTTTTTTCTCTCTGTAACATTTTTGTCCAAGGAGAACTCGCCTTGTTCCTAACCAAACAATCAGTCCCAGCATGCATGTTGATGTCGAACCCGCTGAGCTCCCACCATGAACATGTGTCCGTCACGTCCCCACAACATTCTCAGACATACCCCAGTGGTGAGAAGTCTTTCCTTGAACCTGACGCCAACGGAGTCGTTCAGTCAAGTTTAAGGTCAAACAACCTCAGGTCAATGTGCAAAACAGCGGGACTTTACGCTTTCAAATTATACTGTTTGAATTACTTGTTGCGTCCTAAGCTACCTGTACTAAAAAGGATACAAGTTTATAAATTCGACTTCACTGGTGTAATGGTATTAGAAGCAGGGATGAGAATGTCAATTGAAAAAAAGTATGAACATTGATGAAAGGTCTGAAAGATGTCTTTCTATACTAATGTCTTTTCTTATATTCAAAAAGTCTGCTTTCAGACAAAAGTCTGAAAAATCTCAGCCTGTAGAGGGACAGAACCCAATTTTAAATGCACATCTGACCATCTATCACACTATATCATCGGTTTACAATAAAGATAATTTAAACCAGTCTGATGAGCTTGTCAAATAGAAATGTTATGGAAAATTTAAGTGAATAACAGGATTAGTGAGTTAAAATTAACAATATCTGTGTAAAATTGCCATTCAAAAACAAGACAACATTTCACACAATAGACATAAAAAACCCATGGAATTAAATTAAACAAAGTACACAATCCCAAAGTCAACAACTAGATACACCACCAACATTTAAACAAGAAGGTATACTAGTTGCCTAATAACATATCACAATTACAAATACAAATGCAAATGTAGAAATCAAAATGAAAACAAACCTTGTGTAGGCCTACTGTAACTTTCTTCCTGTAACCCATGTTGAAAACTAGCACCACACATTATTAAGTTTAGTCCATCAGTGCAGAAACCCTGTCACTTCCTTCACAAATCCCAAGACACTGCTTCTGAACAATCCTCTACACCAACAAATTCTCCCACCAACAAATTCTCTCTCAAGACTTGTTTACAACTTGTGGAGACCTTCTCCCTGGCATGACTCACAAATAACCTGGTGATTAACACCCCAATTATTCCCCAACCACAGACCAGTGGACTCTTTAAGTTTTCCCTAATCCTTATCCCAGCATCTCTAGTTTCCTGTTTATAACTTGTTCTCCTACTCGTTTTTCTATCCTACTCATTAATTAACAACTTCATCCTCTATTCTAAAGCATTTCTTACAATTCCTACACATACTCATCAAAATTTTGCTTCAAATTCTGAGTTTTCTAAGAATTTTTTGGGGTAGCAACATTGTTCGGGTATGACAGGTATTCCCTGCTATATTATAATAGGCTTCTATTTACACACGGGCTATGAGTCACCCATATGCCACGGGCACACACCCACACAGACTGGCCAAGTCCAGACAATAGAGGGGGCTAGTCATAACAAAAGACAACTCAGGAAGTGAAAAAGTACACACCGTGAAAGCTTTGACAATAATGCACATCTATATTTAGCTTCATATTTTTTTGGTCATGAACACTTGTTTACAACTTGTTTAATTGAATATTTGTTGGTAAAAACAAGTTTTGTTGTTGCCAGAAATACAAATTCCACAGGAATGCAAATCATTC